GGAGGAGAATATGAAAGTATCATGGGCTGCTAATAGAGCAGATAGATCTGTGTTGGAAGATCAACAGCCAGAGTGTTTTTTAGAGGCCAGACTTTGTCTCTCATACTTTGGACATATTGTCAGGAGGGATCAGTTACTGGAGAAGGGTATAATGTTTGGTAAAGGGGAAGATCAGAGAAATAGAAGAAGCCCCCAGCAATATGGATATGTAAAGTGTCAGCATCAATGGGCTCAAGCATGGCAACAATTGTGAGGTTGGCCCAGGACCGAGCAGTGTTTTGTCCTGTTGTGCATAGGGTCGCTATGAGTTGGTACCAACTCGATAGCATCTAATAACAACAACAAGTGATATTTTCTTTCTTTTTTTTATATATTTTAAAAAGGAGTTTTGCTGCAGATTTGCTAATTGCAATACATTACTTGATTTCTCTATTTCCCTGAGTGTTGATTGTGGATTAAAATGAAGACACTGACAGCTTTATTCTTTTCTCCAGTTATCATGATGTTATTTTTTTTTGGTCCAGAAATGAGGATTTTTTTCTCATTGAGGTGCAATCCATAATGAAGGGTGCAATCTTCATCTTCATCAGTGAATAGTTCAAGTCCTCTTTGCTTCCAACAAGAAAGGCTGTATCTTCTGCACAGTACAGCTTTTTAAGGAGTTTTCCACCAACCCTAATGCCAAGTTCTCCAAGACCACTCTTCTCTTCGTGCTGCTCTGTGGAAAACCAGTCCATTCTTTACTTACCACAGTAAAAAAATCTTAAGAATAAGTGGAGCCAGTTTCTGAGATTATTTGAATACACTGAATAAGTATGATGAAAGGATACAACCCTGACACTCACCTTTCCTGATTTTAATTCATTGATTATCTCCTTGTTCTGTTTAAATAACAGCCTCTTGATTTAGATACAAGTTCCTCAAGAGCACAATTAAATGGTCTAGGGTTCTCGTTCTTCAAAATTTTATCCATAGTTTGTTAAGATCCACACAGTGGAATGCCTTTGCTTAGTCAATAAAGTACAAGGACTAATTTAGGTTTAATATTTTTAGAAACTGGTAACTTTTTCAAAACAGATGTCATGAATGTGTTTAAATTTATCCACATCCTTAGTACTACAGCTTAGCTTAAGTTTTTGATCCTATAGAATACATTTATAACTGTTTCAGTGTCCTTATCTTTGGATTGTGACATCTGTTTCAGCTGTCACTCACTGATTTTCTCTTCATTTTGAGTTTTATTTTCTTTCTCTGCAATTGTGTCAATTTTTAATTGAGTGCCAGATATTTCAGATTGTATTTTATTGATTGTTGGAGATTTTTACATTCCTGTATTATTGAACTTTGGAACCCTGGTCTGGCATTTGAGGGTAACATTGGACTACCAACTGCAAGGTCAGCAGTTCAAACCCTCCAGCTGCTCTAAGGGTAGCTCTGAGTAGGAATCCACTCATTGGCACTTAACAGCATCATAGTACTGAATTTTGATCTATCAGACAATTAAGTGACTTGCAGTCATCTTGCTTTATGAGTATTCCGATCTTGTGGCACTGGAAGCAGCTCTAGTTATGCTGTGGGTTAGGCATTAGGCTGTTAAACTACAACATCCAAACCTTTCAGGCACTTTGTGGAAGAAGCATCAGACTGTATGCCCCAAAATATGTACATTCTGCTGGAACATGCTCCTTGTCAGGAGGTTTCAGTCACATTGGCTCCTTGATCAGTCTAGAGCTAAAATATCTCCTACTCCTTAGGAAAGATCTATATATTTACTCTGCTCAACGACACAGATATTATGAAGTTGTCCATTCTGACTGATGGAAACAGTCACTGTTCTTGTCCAAGTGTTACCGCCAAGCATTATCTTTGAACTTGTCTAGCATTTCTTTTCCTAGAACTGGGTAGTTTCCTCAGATACACCTTGAGTATTACTAAGCAGAATACTACTGGAGGATATCCTCTTTAGATTGATGAACGTTTTCCCTGCACAGTTATTTCTTTTATTTTATACTCTGAGGAGACCATTAGCTCCTTTGGTCTCCCCGAATGCTAAATTTATGTTATCCAATCAGGTTCTGTTTGGATTCCCAGTCCTTGCACTGCATCCTCAGACAATCTCTAAAGGCAATAAAGCTGTAAAACCAGTGAGCTCACATCCCTTGTTCTTGCGTATCCAAGTTAACTGTTCTTTTCGTGATGCTCTGTGTCTTAGAAAACAGCCCACTCTTCTCCTACCGCAGTTAAAAATCTTACAAGTGAGTTCTGGCTACTTCCCCTAAAACCCAAACTCAGCGCTAAATAGCTCTCTGTTCAGCGAATTGAAATACAGGTTCTTGCCATATCTATTGGCTTCTGCGCTGCCGAAAAGCAAAGGCGCATGCGCAGAATTTCCTCCCGCCAGCCGGCAGCCTGCTACAACTACGCCAGCGTTCAGAAAGGGGCGGGCCAACGAGTAACTTTACGTCTGCCAATCAGAGAGCATAATTATCCTTACTTCCGCCCATTTATCTGGAAACCAATTGCTTGTCCGGAAGTACAGTTTGCGGAGGATTCAAAAACTGTCTGAGAAGTTTACGGAAGTGTGGTCACAGGTTTGTCGACCTCTGGAAGAATGGAGGCTGCTGCGACCGACCCGGAGACAGAGGCCATAAAGTAAGTGCCTGTCGCCAGGGGTAGCTAGGGACGAACGGCAAGGACTGTACAAATTCCCATGTATTTTAATGATAGTGGTTGTGTGCTGTGGAATCGGTTGCGACCCTGTACAGCGTGTAGGGTTTCCGAGGCTGTAAATCTTTACAGGAGCAGAAAGCTTCATCTTTCTCTCGCGGAACGGCTGGAGGTTTCAAACTGCTGACCTTGAAGTTAGCAGCCCATTGGTAACCGCTATGCCACCGGAGTTCCCACATACTGTGGAGGCTCCCTTTTCCGCCCGACTGTTTCGGTTTGCCACCGCGGGAAAGGGATCCCTACATAATTTCTGCCCGTCTCTCCCATGCACACACGCCACAGGGTATGTACTAGAAAGAGAAGGTTCACTCCCTGTCGACCCATTTCTCTGCAGATAGCCCCATCCAGGCAGAATACTTTCTACCCCAGGAAACATCCTGAATGGGCGGTTTAATGTTTGTCCCAGCCCCTCCTAACTTGCGCACTCGGACACAGACGCTACCCACACTCCCTGCCTCCTCCCCTGTGTTATTTCAGCCTAGGGCGGACCCCAAAGAAAGGCGCTGAAGGGGAAGAATCTACCGAGCCTAGACGGAGACACTTAGCTCTCTGTACTGAACCCCTCCTAATTTATCCCCAGATCTAGCCACAAGACTAGTGTTTTCTTGGAGAAGGTCTTCCTATGACCCCTCAGAGCACTGCCCTTATTTTTCTGGTTCCCTAAATATATCCCGACTGCCCTGAGACTAGAATCAAATCCTATCTTCTCAGAGCCACACTGCCTATTTACAATTTCATTCCCTCCCCTGATATTTCTTAATTGCCCTTGTTGGGTGTCATAGAGTTGGTTCCCAGTCAACCCCATGGATTAATTAGCAAGTAAAACTGCCTCATAAGGTTTTCATCTGTTGTCATTGGGAGAGTGAATATGTTTATTCTAGTCTGTTACTTTGTGGATTGCTTGGTTTTATAATGCCCTTCCTTGTCTCTAATAATGGATTGTGACTTCAAATCTCTGTTATCAAGATCATTATTGTCAGTGCTGTTCTCTTTTTGTTACTGTTTGAGATGTTGTTTTCCATCCTCTGATTTGTAACCTGTTTATGTCTGTTCCTGAGGTGTGTCACTTGTAGGCAACATTTTGATGGGTCGTGTTTTTGTTTTGTTTTTCCTTTGGGGGAATTGAGTGAAGGTTTCATTGTGGGATTGTCATCAATAAGATGAAGCGAAATGAGTATGAACTGGGCTTTTTTGGATGCGGGCTTTATGGAAGCTCATTGCTGGGTCTTTCTCCCTTAACCATTTAACCCTCAGCACCGTCAGCTTGTCCTGCATTTTCTAATCCCCACCCCCAAGACACTTTTCTCATCCATACATACACACCCCGTGGTCTAAACCAGTGGGTTCTTCAGGCCTTGTGTACACACTAGTCAGAGAGGAAAACTCTCAATATTAGTACACACACTAACATATTTGCATGTATATATGTATCTTCTTTATATGTTGTAAAGAGCCATCGACTTATAACAACCCGATGCACAACAGAATGAAACACTGCCTGGTCCTGTGCCATCCTCATAGTTGTTTACACATGAGCCCATTGCCGCTGCCACTGTACCAGTCCCTCTCAGCTTCTTTTTCGCTGACCTTCCACTGTACCAAGCATGATGTCATTCTCCAAGGAATGGTCCCTCCTGATAACATGTTCAAAGTTTGATATGCATGTTATACATGCAAATGTATATATACTTACATATATATTTATGCAAAAATATGAACTGCCAATATGTTTCCTATATGAATCACCTGAGACACAAAGACATACATAGATTAAAACCAGAGGATGAAAAACATATCTCACTCAAACTGTCACAAAAAAAGCAGTGGTGGCAATAATAATTTGATAACAAGAGATTTTTAGTCAAAATTTATGATTAGAGACAAAGAAGAGCATTACACGATGATTTAAAGATCAGTTCACAAACAGAACATACCATAATAAGTATTTATGAATACAGTGACAATAGAAGAAAGAAAACCCCATGGGGCACTTCTATGCAGTAATCCATGAGGTTGAGTGGGGAATCAGTTCTATGGCAGTCCTGGTATGGTGCTGTAGTATAAACACGGGACTGTTAACCTCGAGGTTGGTGGTTCAAAATGACCCGCTGCTCTTTGGAAATCCTATAAAGTGTCACTATTGGTCGGGACAGACTCAACAGCACTTAGCAACAACAATAGCATTTCTTCTTCAGAATTAACACTGTAGGAGATTGCAGCTGCCCCTGTTTCCCGTCCCTTGCAGGACCTTAGCTGAAGTGAGCACCATCCTAGAATCTACAGGCTTGCAGGAGGAAGCAGAGCTGCCTGCCCAGGTCCTGGCTGAATTTGTGATGGTATGTACAAGACAGGAAGCCGGGGACTGGCTCTGACTCCTGTGGAGACACTGGGTAGGATCTATGGTGAGCAGTCAGGAAAGCAGCCCTGTTGAATTATAGCTCAACAGGGGAATATTCTCCCTGTCTCTTCCTGCCCTTTGAACAGGACTCCCGGAAGAAGGACAAGTTGTTGTGTAGCCAGCTTCAAGTAGTGGACTTCCTGCTGGGCTCCTTGGTGAATGAGGACACTGTCCAGGATCTGGCCTCTGAAGACATGAGCCGTGAGTAGGCACGGGGTCTGGGTAGGATCTGACCTAAGTGGAGAAGGAAGAGGAGTGTCAGGTCAACTGTCTGGCTGATGGCTCCAGTATTACAGGGAGGCAGACTGGCCACACCCACCCATTCCCTCATTCCTGGTGACTTATTTCAGGCCAAAAGGCAACGGAAGCCAAGGAACACTGGAAAGAGCTGAAGGCCACCTACCAGGAGCACGTGGAGGACATCACTAGCGCCCTGAGACAGGCCCTGTTGCAGAAGGAAGAGGCCCAGAGGAAGCAGGCGCAGCTCCAGGAGGCCATTGAGCAGCTCCAGCTCAAGGTATATTCTGGAACCTTGGAACAGGGGACGGGCAGAAAGGAGCTAGCAAAGGTTAAGCTAGCTAAGTTGGATCCACTTCTCACTTTTCCAAAACCAACCAGAAAAATGCACTTTTCTCTCTGTCCCCGGACCATGTTTACCCACAGAAGCAAGCGGCCGCAGAGAAACTCAAAGCAGCCCAGCAGCAGTGGCAGTTGCAACAGGTGGGCCCATCTCCCTGTGAGAACGTCCCCTTCCACTCCAGTAATACCATTATGCAGGCTCTGTCCTCTGCCTGTGAAAGCCTCATCTCGTTTTCTTGTGTCAGGTTTGTATAGTGCAGTAACAAGGGCTTGAATTCCAGGTGTCACCACTTCCCACTCAATGATCTTGGGCAGGTCACCTAACTTTCTGTGTGTCTGTGAAATGAGGGCCATAATGACACTTACAATGTATAGTTGTTTGGAGGATTACATCAGTTATCAGCACACAAAGTTCTTAAAATTGGTACCCAGAACATAGCAAGCTAAATAAATTTTATCATCTCTTTGTCCCTTCCATCCAAAGCACCTAACCTGGGTAAGTTCATTCATTCGGACCTGATTTTTTTCTCTGGGCCCCTTCTCTTTCCCAAGACCAGCAGGGTCCCTCTTCCTGCTGGGAGTCTGAGTCCTGAGCCAGGACTAGGATGAAGGATTTCGGTTGTGGGGGTGGCTCTTGACGCCTGCTGGTAAGTCTTGTCTGAACCTTTGGTTCTGGCAGGAGAAGCATCTACAGCGTTTGGCAGAAGTAAGGCATCATCAGAGAGGAACTCAGCAGAAGGTTGAGCAGCTGCATCAGGAACTCAGAAGCTTGACGCATCAGGCAGGGCAGAAGCAGGACCAGCTACAGAGGTGAGGTTAGGGGTATCGGCTGTAGGAGAGCTGCTTCTGCTGCCGTTCCCTCCCCTCACACTCACCTCCTCCTCCCAGGTACCAGGCCTTCCTCCAGCTGCTGTGCACCCTGCAGAACAAAGTGCTGCTCCCTGAGGCCGAGGTACAACCACCACAGGAGTGGCCTCTCCACCAGAATATTCCTGAGGATAAGCCCCAGGAGCAAGACACTGGGCGTGACATGGGAGGGGATGGGGCTATTATTCCCAAGTGACGACAAGCTGGAGGGGACAGAAATTGGAAGGTAGACTTAACTACTACCCAGACTGTCTTCCCAAGGTCAGTGACCCACAACCTGTTGGACATATGACCTTGCTACATTAAAGATCCTAAAGTAGTTCAGAACCTTGCTCAGAAATTGATTGATGGTAGGAGGGGAGAGGGGGGCCTTTGGTCATTTTCTTTGCATCTGAGCTGCTCTTTCCATAGGGGAGAGGGTGGGGGAGGAAGGAGCTTGTGGATGGCTGAAGGCTGGCCCCTCATCTCCATGTCCGCTCTGCCTGGGCTTACCCCTCTCTTGCTCTTCTCCAGTTCTTCCCTTGCCCCACTCATTGTAGAATGCTCTGTGAACTGGTCAGCCCAAGTCTGACGTGGGAGCATCCTGTATATTTTGTAGATTAAACCACTGGATCGCTTTCAGGCATATGTTTCTTTGTTCATCCTCACAGGCAAGGGGGGAGAACTATGGACACTCAGAGGCAAACAGCATGACAGGATCTGGGACAGATGTAAAGGGAGGGTGCCCTGGCCTGGGCCTCAGGTTGCTGCCCCTATTCATGTGATGCAACCATGTTGAGCTTAATTCAGAAACAGAAGGAGGAGTGCTCTTTAAGCAGGCATGGGGAGACAGAGAACACGGGGATCTCTGCCTTTCTGTTGGTCCATGTCTGTGTGAGTTACACTTCTTGCTGTGTGTGCATCCTCTGGAGTTAGTGTACGTGTTTCTGGATGTTTCTGTGTCTTTTAGTTTCTATGCCTAATCCTCTGCATGTCTGTCACTGAATGTGTGGACATAGGAGGGATGTGTTGCTGAGAATCTGTATCCCTGCGTGGTAATCTGCTGTCTATGATAAAGGTGTCGTTGGCAGCTTTCAGAGAGTGGAAAACCATTCTGTGCAACTTACTTTTATAAAGGAGTAAAGCAGTTTCTATTGAAGTGTATAGAATTAGTTGTAATATCTGAGAAGTTTCTACTAACTTTGTAAATGGAATAACTAACTAGCTTCCCACAATGTTAATTGTCTCCCATTTGAGAATGTTTCTGTGATGACTGCACTTCATGCTAAAGAGCTTTGTAGCGTTTGTCCTGCATAAACCAGGGTCTGCGTGTGGTTTCTGACTAAGAAGTAGTGGGGGTCCTGGCCCAAAAACTGTCCTCTGAGTTGTTACTGATCCTGAATGGTAACCTGGTGCTTCCCTAATAGTATTCTAGTTATACAGTTCAAACTTACCAGCCCCTACACAGGAGTAATTCCATGATCATTGTCTGTGAGGTGTCTGTAACCATTGTGAGGAATTATTGAAGCAACAGAGTAGGAAAGAGTGCTTTGAGAGGGACAATTGTGTCATTGATAAAAAGGTTAGAAAGAGGAGATAGACATAGACTTATTTATAGGAATCAACCTTGGACTATTCTGTTAACTATTCTCCTCCCACCTTAATAAGTTAGACAAGAAGGTGTGATGATTCTACCAAGCCATTCTTAGAATTGTTATCCCCAGCCTAGTCATTGAAACTTTTGGTACTTTCAACCTTGGGCTCTGAGGAAATTAATACTTAAATTTAGAATTCATTCATTAATGTGCCTCATGGATATATGTCATACTTCACTCTTGAAACCGTAAATAACCACATTATTCTGAATACTCGTGTCTTGGGCATCAACCTCTTTTATGTTTAATTTTAGGGCTTTTTAAACTATCTTGGAGGGGTAAATTCTGTTTGTTATTAGACTGAATTTATAACTGACTGGTTGTGAAGTGTCATACAGTCATCTCTAACTCATAGCAACCCCATTTAGGAGTTCCAGGGAGTGGCTGGTGGGTTTGAACCTCCAACCTGTGGTTAAGAGTCCAGTGCTTATTTTACAGAGCCACACAGTTACAAAAAACAAAAATAGAAACATAATTGTCATAGAGCTCTTTAATATAGAGGTTAGATTTCAAGTGACATATTAGCATATGTCACCTAAACAGTTCACTTAGGTGAATCTCAGCAAGCACACTTATATAAGAATACCAAATTAATTTTTCCTTGCATTTCAGAGTGATAAAACCCAAGTCAAAGAGTTAGTGATTATTTAAAATGAATTGTTATGCAACTAAAGTTGTGTTTTGAGATGAAAAAAGGAAGGAAAGTCCAGGAACTTTGCTTTCAGGAGAAGACAGAATTATTAAAATATGAGATTATATATAAAAATCATAAGCCATAGAACTGTATGTAATCTATTACATCCATATTTGTTCTGTTTATGTATACTATTTTGTTGTTAAGTGCTGTTGAGTTGTTCCTACCCACAGTGACCCTGTGTAGAGTTTCCAGGAGCAGCTGGTGAGTTTGAAACACCGACCTTATGCTTCAAACCGACTTTGCAGTCCAGTGTATTAACCCACAGGACTCTACACTACAGAAGTAAAAAATAGGGACCGTGTGAAAGGTAATTTTCCTGAAGGATTGATGAGTTTCTTTAAAATGAAATCCTAAAAAAATTTTAAGTTATAAAATTGTTTTGCAGTGACGTGGCGTCTAATTTTAGGAGCTAATCACAAATAATTGATTATGTGAATCTAGCTTGTGGCGCTGTGGGTTAATGCACTGGACTGCAAGGTTAATTTGAACCTCAAGGTCAATGGTTCTAGCTCACCAGAAACCTTATAAAGGGTTCCTGTGTATTGGAACTGATTACACAATACACAACAACAACAAGAAGCTTTTGAAAACGTAGATAACTCGAGGGTAGACAAGTGAGCTTTGGTGAAGGGAAAGGAGGATACATTAAGGAGGTCAGCAAAAAATGATGGAGATGAAGGAAGACTGGGAGGAGTGTAAGAATGAAAGAAAATAGAGGTCAATCCTACGGCAACAGTAATGAGAACCTGTGACTGGATACATAGCTGGATATGTGTGGGGAGGGGAATAGGACTGTACCCACAAATATATAGAGGTGTGTTAACAGAGGCTATTTCCAAATGTGTGTTTACATATGCTGCAAATATATCCGTGACTATAGTAGACCTTACAGGTTGCAAAGGTATGGAAACAACCTTATCAAACACCTTGAGAAAATGAGTTACTGGCTGGAGGGTCTCAGACCATAGTCTCCAGGGACATCAAAGGCAATTGGCACAAAGACAGTGTACATCCTACTTGGATGACTAGTGAGTGGTCTTGTAAGTGGCCATCTCAGGTGCAACGATTGGTCTCCCCTGTCTGGAGCAAAGGAAATTCAAGATACTGGAAAATAATGAGTCCCTATGGCTCAGTTTTTAGTCAAACACTAGGTCTAGAAGGGGAACAATACACTAGCTCGTTGCCACACCTTAAAATAATCAACCATTTGAGATCACAAGGGTAACATTTACCCAAGGACAAAGTTCAGAAAGGTTAGGAAAGAAGGAATGGAAAAGGGAAATCTGGAGAGGAAATGGGAAAAGTGCTGTTTCATTGTTGGAATTACAATCAATGATGTGAAATAAAATGTGTATCATTTGTTGACTAGAACATTGAGTTGCTTTGTATATCGACCAATTCATAATTAAACTTTCTGTTTTTTTGTGGTTTTTTTTGAAAGTAGGTACATAAAATTTTCATCTTGTTCAAGTAGCTAATCAGTAGACACAGATTTATGCTTTACATATATGTTAGGAGGAAACACTTCCCTTCAGAGGCGATGACCTGATCTCCCAGGCCAGGTATTTTAGCAATAAAAGAGTAATTTAGAATGTTGTATTGGCTGGAGTTTGGAGCTATCTGTGGTTGTTCGTTTGGTTACTGTGTGAAATTAATAAACCACTAAAGGATGATTTGCTGGTTTTTACTTTGAAAAGTCACTCCTGACTGCAGTTCTTAGCTCTGCTCAAGTGTCATTTTCAACCTCATGGAAGAAATAAGAGAAAGGAAAGAAATAATAAATGGAGTCAAGAAATTCTATCATAAAAATGTGTGTGTATATGTGTATACTTACATGCGCACACACACTGTAATCTACAGGAATGTGTGTGTCTGCACACATCAACATAAAATCAGTAGACATAGTGACAATTAGACAAAGAGGTAAGAATGACTCATGAAGGTGGTTGTTACTAGTTGTTACATGGAGTTGCCATAACTCACGACAGCTCTCCACAATGAAACATTCTCAAATCTTGATTTTTGGAAGTAGACTGCTGAGCTTTTCTTCCTCGTTTCTCTTAATCTGATAGTACCTTTGAAACCTGTTCAGTTTCATAGGAACATGTGAGCTTCCATTAACAGGTGATGACTAAAAATAAGGCATGAATTACTGAGCCCTGGTTTCCCAAATGGAAGGCGAGCATTCTCCCAATAAACCAGCAGTACCCATTTTTACAAATAGGGATCCTGTCATTAACCATTTGCTCCTCATTGCGCTATTATTTTGTATCTTCACATGAACATACAGTGCCTTCATACTTTGAAGGTACATAGTAAATGTTCATTGAATCATATGTCATCAAATATGAGCGACTTCTTGGAGTGGCAGATTTTGTTGTTGTTGTTTTAAGGAGTTTATATAGTTTATAAGGAAATATAGTTTCTATCAACAACATATGCCGAGTCCCAAGTTCTCTAATTCTTTAATTACTTTTTCTTAGTACGGAATTTAAAGGTAATGTTCTAGCCCCAACAATTGTGATTTCAGTCTTTGATATTATTATTTTTTATCCCAAACTACCTAAACAGCTGTCATCAAGATGCTTCTGACTCTGATCGCCAACAGGGTTTCTGTTTTTATTTTTAAGGTAAAAAAAACTATTGTTTAAAGCACAAAAGAGAGTAAGACAATTAGTATAACTTTTCATTTCTTAGCATTCTAAACAAGGTACTAAACATTCACTGTGACTTACTCTTTGTAAACTCTGGAAAATGTCTACAAGTTCACACTCTGTGATATAAAAAGGTACAACACACAATGATAGGAAGTCAAAATCCACCTCACAGATACAACTCAAATTGCTGTGAGACAATTTTCTAAAC